AAGGTAAGCTTCCTTTTACACATAAGTGTCATATTTGGGTTGCAACAGTTGTCTCTTCACCTTCTGACTATAGCCCTCATTGCTCTAAGGTTTATTTAAAAAAAAAAAAAAGCTTTTTTCTCTCTCTTCCCTCTCCCCCTATCTAACAAGATTAGGGAGACAGTGTTCTTTTCTTCCCCTAGTTAATTGCCCTTGAACACACCCACTACAGGAAGGAGATGCCTGCTGAGGATCTCCCAAACTAACAAGTGAATCTTAACATGCCAGCAAGGTGCCCTGGGACCCCCTTATCAGAGCACACCTGGGATGTAACCCTTTAAGAATTCCTTTAAAACTCCCTATCCCTCCTGATCAGGAGAGTCACAACCTTTGGGACAGGAGTCCCCTGTGTTTCTCCTTTGCTGGCAAAGCAATAAGCCTTCCTTTATCTTTTCCTCAAAACTGTGTCCTCATTATTAAATAGTCATTGATTGGCATTGGTGACAGGGACGGAGCTGTTGGTTATAGGGTGGTCTCTGAGAAACAGAGAACCACGAAGAACTTTATCTTATAGATAAAGTAACAGACTTTACTTTTAAAAGGTGATTCACTATACAAGGTGATCATTAAAATTCCTTGTTTAGGAAACAGGTATGACTAGAATTTTTTTTTTTTTCTGGCAGTCAACCTCTCGATTGAAATTTTAATGGCAAACATTTATACTTTAAATGAATTTAAATTATTTTGGGAAGTTCTTTCAAATAGCAAAACAACAGTCAGAGATGTATGTATCGGAACCAGGGCTAAGAGTTTGAAAGAGTGCCTATTTGACAGGTATACATTAGAGATCTATTCAACACCACCCATTTCTAAGTTCTTCAAGACCAGCTATGAAAGCAGATTGATAAACTGGGTAAGAAACCCCAAATTTCTAGGACAGTCTCTCTCCAGTGATTTCAGGTACTTATGTTCAGAGAGAATAAGAATAAATTTTCCCTCCTCAACTCTTAGCGGAGAAAGGTCATTAGGGACATAGATGAAATCTATATATGCACTTATCTGAGGCTGTTTTGCAACAAGCCACCCATAACTTAAGGTCTCTTCCCTGGTTAGGTCACTACAGTAAGTGAGTCGTCTTCTCACAAATTTGTGGTGCTCTTGCCAAATCGATAACGGGTGGTCCCGTTTCTTTTGGAAGTCCTATTTCTGTGTATGGAAAGAGGAACTTGGACATCCTCGCGATAGACATTGGAGCTGCCTTACCAGTTCTGCCAACACGGGAGTTGGTGCTTCTCCAGCCTTTGCAATCCGCCCCCGCAGACCGCGGAGCAGGTCCGTGCCACTCACACGCGGCGCTGGCCGGGAGCGGCCCAGCCGAACAATGCTGCCCTCGTGTCTGAGCGCTCGGTGCGCACCGCTCAGGGCTCGAGCGCGCCTGCACGTACGTAGCTTTCACGTGTGTATTGATATGGAGTTCGTGTGTGGATACATGAGAATATGCTGAAACTAATTTTGGATAGAGGCGCCGAAGACAGGACGAGGGAAGGTAGGAGCGGGCGTGCACCGGCCCCGGCCTTGGGCGGGAGGCGGACGCGAGCCGGGCC